GGCGTTTGTTTACCTTGATGATATGGACGTGATGTGTCGCCGATGTTGGACTGTGCTCCCTATATCTCGATTTAATTTTAAGACCTGCCGATTATTTCTGGCTTCGGATGACCCTTGGAAAGTCCGCCACCTGATAGGCCTAGTTAGAAAAGCAGTCGCTGTCTCTATATAACGCCAGAAGAGGAAATTGTGGAGGACCTACCTTGCTGCGGGTGTTTCAGCGGTCACTGGAAGCAGCTGGGAGACACCTGATAGCGCCGTCCCACAGCTGAAATATCCGCGCGCGCGGCTGATAGGTCCACGTGACGTCGAATTGGTCTGCGCGATGCGGCTGATTTCTCCGCCCCGCGTCGAAAGGGTCTGCGCGTCGCGGCTGATAGATCCTTCCCACCACCGAATGTGTCTGGCCATCCCGTGACGTAGGTTGTACCCCGTGTTACACATGTTACGAGGTATAAAATTTCCATCATTCACCAATAAGGATTCACAGAATTTTTACATTAATGATGCAAATTAGGTCATCATTTGAATAATTGGTATCTGTTGATGTTCCGCCTGCCACAGATAAAATAGATTACATGTATAGCAGTACCACTATATGAAACACTGTAATTATAGAACTTCCTCATTAATTATGCAAATTAAGTCCTCATTTGCATAATTTGCATTTAATCATGTACAACAGTCTCTCAGGTACCTACACACCAAAATGATGAAAATATGTTGTTCCAATGTGGACTTATTGGCTTTGAAAGTTTTTACCAGAAACTAACCTGCAGTTCCAGAACAAGCTGCTAGGGGGACCAAACTTACGCCACGTATTCCTGACAGGATTAGCTATCTGTCACGAAAAAGTCAAGACCATAGCAAGTTCAGGGCAAAAGATACAAAATCCGGAAGTTCTGCTGCAGTACCAAGGTCATCCACCAGGAGGCCCATACTTGACCTTGACCTTTGTCTTTCCAAGACTTACCATCATACCAAATATCATCACAATCCATAAAGGTGTTCTGAAGTTACATGTATGCTGACTACAAAGTTGCGGAAAGACACACAGACACACAGACAGACAGACAGACAGACAGACAGACAGACACACCACACACACAGACATAAATACAGACAGACACGCCAAAAACAATACCTCCATTTTTCATGGAGGTAAAAACGTTTTGTTGCTAAAATGTAATTTTGGGCGGTTGACATAATGTTACAGTTAACTCGAAAAGAATAAACCGGGGAACCGTTCAAAATAAAGAGTTGTTTTGCTCTATCTGAAAGGGTGTATAAGTTAACAGAGTGTCCTAAGATCGCAGAAAGTTTGCTGATGCGTACTGGTGCTTTTTGTACGGTTTGGTACGGTGTCCCCTTGCTTGATAATGCTACGTATTTTACAAGAGCACGTAGGCATTTGACCTTCGCCAAGAATTGACGAAGGTTATGTTTTTACTGGCCGTGTGTCTGTCTGTCAACAGCATAACTCGAGAAAGCTTAGATGGATTATCTTGATATTTGGTAGGTGGGTAGGTCTTGATGAGACCTCGAAATGATTAGATTTTGGGGCCCCTAGCGGCTTCTAATGGTACTGCAGCTGAACTTCTGGTTTTGATATCTCGTGATCTGGACGTGCTAAGGTCACGAAATTTGGATGGCAGGTAGGTCTTGTGCTGGGGAAGAAGTGGTGCCCCTAGCGGCTTGCTCAAGAACTGCAGGGGCATTTCTTTGAAAATATGAAAAGAGGATAACTCAAGAACCGGTGGACGAATCGCCGTGATTTTTGGTATGTAGGTCGCTTAAGTGACGTTTGACATAATTATGCGACAATTATGCAAATCTGGATGTAATTTGCATAATTAATGAGGGAATTCTATAAATCAGCTACATTACGTTATAGGACTATTCAAGTTGTGACATATGTAATTGAGAACGAGAGAAACATAGGTAGATATTGATTATGTAAATTAACATTTACTTTGCATAATTAATGAGAAAATGTTATATGATTCCATAATGGTAACTGCCTGGAATTTCATTATTGGGGTATTTGAAAGTTAAGCGAAGGTCTCGGACCGGAGTTTTTTTTTTCACGAATTTGGAGACGGCGGACACCCTCAGACCGAAGGGCTACAATTCCGCCAAGAAAAGTACGCCGGGAAATCTCATTACATTAGTCAACGGAGGTTTCCAGCCGGCTTCAGATACAATTTTGGTTATTGTCCGTCGACTCTATAATATTTCTCTCCAATGATGAATCTGAGACGATATCCAACTTACATCAACTCTAAACCTACTTTTGGCATTTCTTTTTGTTTACCTCCTACACTCGCTGTGTCGCGGTACCGCAGCAGATACTTCAAATCGTGATGCGTGAATTATGTATACATGGGGAGGGGGACAGCCAACTAATTCCAGCCCCTATTGAAATATATAGGAAACATCTAAGAACTGAGCTGTCAACAATCACCTACTTGAGTGTTCAACTATTGCAATCACACATTGACAGGGTAGTCCAACTTCCAAATTGTCCATTTAGTCAAAAAATTTCACTTTTTGACCAGCGAAACATAGCACGGCAAATGCAAACACTGGCAGCATGTCCTCTGGCCCCATTGAAGACCACCAAAACACAAGAAGATGGGATTAGTTTTAGAACTCTACCAAGCAGCCCAAACAACACTCAAAGCCAGTTTTTTTTCAACTTAATAGAAATAGAAACAACTCTCCAGCTGGAAAATGCCAGCATTTATCCACACATACCAAGAAAAAGGCTGTTTTCAGTTGGTTTGGCTGCACTCAATCAAACTGGACCTTATGCGACTGCGGAAATGGTGACCTTTGCCCTGATATCCAATATCACTGGTCTCTTTCCAAATATACTGGCTATGGGAGTCATATAGACTGTGGGCATAAATAGTATGGAAATATCATTATGCATGAATTCCTGATGTTTTAGTTTTGGTCTTATATAGAAACGGATAGTATGTACACTTTACCGACGCTTCAATTTGAGAAATTTTATCTTTGCTTTCAGAAAATTATGGACCGGATAAGCTGTGAGATTCCTGTGGACGAGCTGCCAACCGTGCACCCTGGGAACGAGACAAGCAGCAGCGAAGACCCAGCAACAGACACGGGAGGACAGCAGGACAAGGAAGAGGACATTCTATCGGAGGAAACGTACGGGGGAAACTCTGCCCATCCTCCCTTACAGAGTCAAACAGAGCAGACGGACGGGCCTGTGGTGAAAGGTACTGTGGACAAACGCTACAAATGTGACCAGTGTGACTTTTCTACTGCACATAAAGGCAATTTAGAAAAACACATGTCTGAACACACTGGAGAAAAACCCTACATATGTGGGTGTGCGGATACAGGACAACTGAGGGGTCTCACTTAACTATTCANCTGTGACACTAGCACCTCTTTCTATAGTTCTGTTCATACAGAATATTGCAGCTTGATTCTGTACCCTTCTTAGTTCTTCTTTGTCTTTCTTTGTACATGGATCCAACCTGCACATCAAATCTGTTTTCTCAACACAATAAAATTTCTTAAATAGTGGTTATTTGGGCTATAAAAGCAGGCCTAGACCCCAAGCAGACCTTTTTCTCAGACCGGGTAGGTTTTTCCGCCTGTTGGACTGGATCGGTTTTTCCGTAAACCCATGTGGGTCGCGATAATGGGGGAGGGGGGCGGTTCGCCTCGGCTTTATATTTGATACAGGCTCCGGTCTAAAAAAAATAAATTGACGTTGGACCACCAGAACTCCGATACACAACAAGAAGAAAGAAATTACAAACTTCCTACCCCCAAACAGCAAAAAGCCACGGTTGTAGACCCGTACCCCCTCCCCACCGACCGTATGTTTACGTAAGTTTATACGACGTTTTTGGCATCCTTACCTGAGAAAAAACTGCCCAGAACTTGTCCAAATAGCTGTCCACACTCTGAAGGTGAATTAATCGATTTTCATCACCTCAAAAATTGCAGATTTCGGACAATTTAACCAAAATGCGTGCGTATACTGGGTATAGTAAACACCAACGCGTCCAGTCGATCGGTGCCTGGTTTCACAGTACCCGGTACAATCACGTGGTGCGCTGTCCATGGCCAATAATACGAGCGCTGTGGCCGATATCCTCCCGAGAGGATAGCAATGCGTTATCACGTCCTCTGGAGGACGGGAGGACGTCCTTCAGGCCCTTACTTATGCACTTATTGGCATGCCTATAAGTCCTTTACTATCTGATATTGGTTTTGTAGCCGGTGGGACGAGCTGCCAACCGTGCACCCTGGGAACGAGACAAGCAGCAGCGAGGACCCGGTAATAGACACGGGAGGACAGCAGGACAAGGAAGAGGACATTCTATCGGAGGAAACGTACGGGGTAAACTCTGTCCATCCTCCCGTACAGAGTCAAACAGTGCAGACGGACGGGCCTGTGGTGAAAGGTACTGTGGACAAACGTTACAAATGTGACCAGTGTGACTTTTCTACTGCACATAAAGGCAATTTAGAAAAACACATGTCTGAACACACTGGAGAAAAACCCTACATATGTGGGGTGTGCGGATACAGGACAACTGAGGGGTCTCACTTAACTATTCATAAGAGAAAACATACTGGTCAGAAACCGTACAAATGTGACCAGTGTGACTATTCTGCATCACGGAAAGGCCATTTAGAAGAACACATGTCTAAACACACTGGAGACAAACCCTACATGTGTGGGGAGTGCGGATACAGGACAGCGGACAGACGTAACCTATCCAGGTACATGAGAAAACATACTGGGGAAAGACTTTACAAATGTGATCAATGTGACTATTCTGCTACACAGAAAGTCAATTTAGACACACACATGGCTAGTAAACACACCGGACACAATCCCTACAAATGTGACCAGTGCGACTATTCAGCTTCAAGGAAAGGCCATTTAAAACAACACATGCTTAGACACACCGGAGAGAAACCCTTCATGTGTGGGGAGTGCGGATACAGGACTGCTTACAGGTCTAGCCTAACGCTGCACATGAGAAAATATACAGGTGAGAAACACTACAAATTTGACCAATGTGACTATTCTGCTGCACGGAAAAGTGATGTGGACAAACACATGGCTAAACACACTGGAGACAAACCCTTCATGTGTGGGGAGTGTGGATATAGGACCACTGACATGTCTAGCCTAACGCTGCACATGAGAAAACATACGAGGTGAGAAACACTACAAATGTGACCAGTGTGACTATATTGCTGCACTGAAAAGTGGTTTGGACAAACACATGGCTAAACACACCGGAGACAAACCCTACATGTGTGGGGAGTGTGGATACAGGACGGCTTAAAGGTCTGACCTAACTATTCATATGAGAAAGCATACTGGTCAGAAACCCTACAAATGTGACCAGTGCGACTATTCTGCTGCACAGAAAGTCAATTTAAACCGGCACAAGGCTAAACACACCGGACACAAACCCTACAACTGTGACCGGTGTGACTATTCTGCTGCACAGAAATGTAGTTTAGACCGACACATGACTAAACATACATGAGACAAACCCTACATGTGTGGGGAGTGTGGCTTTAGGACGGCTGATAGATCTAACCTAACTGTGCTGAGAAAAACCCTACAAATGTGATCAGTGTAACTATTTTTCTGCGCATACACTAAGAGGTCTTTACAACTACACATATCTACGCATGGTGGTGAGAAACCCTAAATCGGTGACCAGTGCGACTACGCTGCTGCCGAAACATGGCTAAACACACTGGTAACATGTCAGCTCAGAGCAGCCATCCTTCCATACGTATAAGAAGGCATATGGGTGAAAAAACCGCGAGTAGTCACACCGCAAGTGTGACTACTGAAATCAGTACGTTTGTACTGATGAAAGGTACCGGATGGTACTTGAAACGTTTACGTATTAAAATTTCAATTTATCCAGTTAGAAAAGATTCAACGGCTTTTTCACTTTATCTATATCCTGGATGATTAACCTTCACCAAGTATTACGTGTGACTACTTGTGCGGATATTCCACTTCATGGAAAGTAAATTTAGTTCGCCACCTAACAAAGCACACAAGCGGAACGTCATATATGCTTATATGTATACAATTCTTTATGCAGAAACGTTACAATGAAGGCGTTTTGTCCGTGTTTTATTGGACAAAAATTCCCGGTTTTGTACACTACGTGGCTTATGATAGCTTCTGTGCTGTGGCGAGTATTGCGTGAGAATTAACGATAATGATGATGATAAGAAAGTAACTTAATTGAAAAGGACTTTTTGCCTGACTTGTTTTACACCATGTATCTATTGATGTAATTATGACTGGACCTGTTGTTCCCTTTAGATAATATAGTGATTAACAATGACAATGACATTGTTACCGGTATTACTAGTACTTAGATAATACTCCATATATACATGTCCACATCCTTGGTAGATAAATAGATAGACCGATAGGTATATAGTTACTGCAAGAAGGACAACTTTAGGGGAGAACTCGAGATAATTTTTTTATCACTTATAAGTATGGTTAAATATTGTTTTTCCTAACATATATCCTGTACGTAGAGTGACTTTATTCATACATATAGTTAGCTTCGTTAGATCTTTAGTTGTAGAAGACCATACGAAAGTACCTGTACTTTTTGTTGAGCCAATAAAAAATCTCGTCAATATACATTGACAGTTAGGCCACACCGCCCTAATTTTATGGATGACATCCACGCGCGCATTGATTTTCGCCTGTTCTCAAAAAAAAAAAAAGAAGATCACGTCCTCCAAGGCTCTGACCTGGCTCTAGGCCTGGGTAGTCCATGGTAGTTAGTGACAATATGAAGCCTATGATAACACTGGACGATGGCACCCAGGCTACCGAAGGCGAGTTACATACGTACAGTGCCGATTCATAAATTCCGCAAAAAGCCAGCATGTGCCGGCTTGTCGCATACGTCACTATGTACTACCGCAAATTCACAATGCTAACGGTTTAGTAGCATTTTTATTTTTGGCCGTAATTTTATTTTATTCGCCCGCGCGCACTAATTTGGGGGTCTTCAGAGGATGTCATCCATGAAATTAAGACGGTGTGGCCTTATAATGAAGCCACAGTAGTTATTTACGCATAGGTCTTTACGATATCGCACGAAATAAAGGTGTTCAAACCACTTCCAACGGGTTGTATATACATGTATTTTCGTTAGGTCCCGCCATGAAATAAGATGATACACACACCAAAAAGCAGTTACTCAAGCAACTGGATATGAGTATCCACTAGCTTTCGTCAGTGAGTGAGAGACCAGAGGAGAATGGTAGGTTTATAAGCACAAACTATTGATTGATATGCAAATAAAGTGAAGACAAGTCACTGACGAAAGCTAGTGGATACTAGCTGAAACGTCTGACCGTTTGACCGTTTCCCAAATCATATCCAGTTGCTTGAGTAACTGCTTTTTGGCGTAATGTATTACCTGGATGTCTAACCTTCATCGACGTAAGATGATACCCTGATAGCTCTAAATTATAACTTATTACAGCATCTAACAGTGATATTAAACTGTCACCTTATTACAGTCTTGATTGGTACAGTGGTATTAAAACTGTTACATTGTTATAGTATTGTTACAGTGATATTAATCTGAATAAAGAAAATGAGAAGAAAAAGAAAGAACTAGCACACCAAACATCCTGTTACACTGGCACACAGTTAAAAAATTACAAATGCGCATTGAACCACAACAGTTCTTTTTTACTGTAGAAACCACCAAAAAGTGCAAAATCTTAAGCATTCTTAACAGTGTCAATTACAGGCAACAGATTTAACAGTGGTGACAAAATGTCTTGATTGTTACAGTGGTATTACACTTTTACATTGTTACAATCTTGATTGTTACAGTGGTATTAAAGTGTTACATTGTTACAATCTTGATTGTTACAGTGGTATTAAAGTGTTACATTGTTACAATCTTGATTGTTACAGTGGTATTAAAGTGTTACATGGTTACAGCCTTGGTCGTTACAGTGGTGTTAAACTGTTACATGGTTACAGCCATGTTTAAATGTCACAGGTTCTTCAATTGCTCCGTCAAACATCCATATAACACGACAATTACAAATCTACTGATGTCGTTGATGTACAATTGAAATTCTTGTACTTGAAATTCTTTTACATACTGGCGATTAAATGCTTCTTACTAATAACACGTTATATTGGCACCGTAAGCCTTTCCTTCCATGACAGAACCATCATTTCTGACTTGTTCCAGGTGTTTTCGTCCCAAAGTTCACTCAATTCGAATGTTGCCAATATTTTTACTAAGTAAACGTGATATGATTCAGTCATCAGAAGAACATTCTGTACCTTGTCTGAAATAAGTAATAACAAGAAGCCATAGGTGACAATTCTCCGTGAAGTATTATATATTGCAACAAAAAGAAGTAGCCATTGGCGACAATTCTCTGTGAAGTGTGATAAATCGAACAAAGAAAAATGGTTTAAACGCGCGTCGGCTCAGTCATCTTAAGACGCAACAACCAATCAGAGATGCGAAATGCCGACACGTGACGCGGGATTTGCATACAGTCTAAACAACGGGAAGGGCGCGCGATGCCCGAAATATTTTTGCGTCAATATTCAGCGCCGTGTTTCAAGAGATTAATACCGGGAAACAATTTCTTTTCTTGTTTTGAACGTATAAACATGCATTTACGCTAATGCAGTATGATTCAGGGTTACTTTTCTTTTACCTGCCATGGCCAGATTATCTAAAGATGTGTGTATTATATTTTGTGTGTACAATCTACAGAAAGAGAAATGTACATCAGGTCCGATCATCCGATTTTCACGTTTCGGTTTTTTGGACTCGGTTCATGAACGTATTTTGGTTTGGCTCCTGGAATGTGCTCCCGGGACTGTCTACAGGGAACACTCGCACATTCGCGGTGTATCAGGACAGCGCGACTGGTCGGCATTAGCGCAGTCCCTGCAATTAGTAACAATTGCACATCAATCCGGCCGAAAGCATGATTGTGTAACACAGGCTACTTCTTCATATACCGGCTCATACTACAAGACGCCTTTACAACTAGCAAATCATAAAATTACCCGATCTACTAGTATGTGCGGTTTACCAGCCCCAGACCACATCCGACCACGAGGCAGAACACATTGATGGGTTGCTCAAAAATATTGTCCATGTTTACAAAGAGCTGCTCCACTAACACTATGGAGCGGCCCAACCCAAAAATATTGGCCATGCCATATGTGTACAGAGAAGCGGCCAGCATGCTCGTTGCTAGGACGACCGGTCAGTTGCTACGTGACTAAATACACGCCGCCACTAGGCCGCCACAGCCGACCAGTTCGAAATCGATAGGATTACGTCATCGGTATTTACATTTCGTAATGTTGACCTCTGACCACCCCACATTTCCGTCCCCATCAGCCTGACCGCGACTTAATTACTACCGGTCACATAGTAGTTTTATTACATGCACAGTTTTATTACTTATTACTCCGTGAAGGAGGTCAGGACCTCCGGACGGAGTGTTGTGATCGGCTGATTTTTCATGTTCGCAGTCAAAACACTGGGTTCTCTTTGTGTAATCGGCACGCAATTTTATACGCCGTCTGCGGGCTTGCCCGTGTTGATGCACGAATGTGATTTTTTGCCGTTGCTGCTTTCGCGGTCAATGTAATATTGCAGACGCACCCTACAATTACGAGGCGAATTGGAATGGTCCAGAAAAACGCGTTGTTTGGAATAGCAGTGGGGGTGGAACTTCATGCAGATACGGGGTGGTTTTGATAAGTGGTCCCAGATGTTTTTGCCCATGGTTAAGAGATGGCAAGTTTTTGGAAGATGTTCGCAGCCAAAACGCATTCTTCCGTACGTCGCATTTCTGTGTAATTTCGCATGTGGTGTGGCATTATGTTCGGGATGATGCAC